TTCTTCTTTCTAGTTCCTTGGATGGCGGAACGGTGTGCGTCTGGACGCCGTTTTCGTCAAAGGCCGACCTACATAGGGAGTATTCTCGACGAATTTACGCGCCTTTCAGCGGGCGTAAACAGGACGCTTGGCGGACGCTTTTAAAACCACACTCGGCGCGTTTCGTTTGCGTCCAGTCGGCCTCTGGTGCAGTGTGGCACAAGGAGAATATATAATACTCACCAGCTGATTGGCCGACACCGCGCCGTATGCTCACGGATACGTCACGCCGAAATACGCCGTAGCGCCTAGATCTGTCCCGGTGGGATCGCCCAATACGCGCTATTTACGCCGGCATTCAGGCATCGAGGAAGCGCTCGTCCCGACGCCCAATAGAAGTTGGTAATACGGCCCTCCAAAACGCCCGTAAATACGCCCAACATACGCCCTTGTGGTTCTGTACGAGCGCTTTCTTGAAGCCCCAAGGGCGGCGCAGATGGCGCGTATTGGGCGGTCCGACCGTGTCAGATCACGGCGCTCCGGCGCATTTCGGCGTGGAGTATCCGGAAACGTACTGCGCGGTGTCGGCCAATGAGCTCCTGAGTTGACAGCAGGAAGTTGGTCGAGGATCGGCTTTCCTAGCTATGCGGCCGGCTGGCTGGCTTGACTCAGCCGCCGAAATGGAAGCTCGCGTGGCGCGTTCGCAGGTTTATCGGTGAACTGTACGAAATCGCTATATCTCTTTCAACCGAGTGATGAACGACTGAGAGAGAAGGAAAGTCCGTCTATGTGGCGGGTGATATGAAGAAAAAAATTATAAAAGGATAGGGTTTGACGAGAGGTCGCGGCTGTTTTCCTGCCGGGACTTGTTCGCAACTTGCCGATTGCAAGGCACCCATTTGAGACAAGCGCTAGCGAATTAGGCTTTCGTTGCTGGTTAACATATTCGCTCCTGCTTGCGTTGCGCACTGGCGTATCTTCCGTACCGCACATTTCCCCCTAAAACGGCCACACTAGGCGTAACTGTTTTGCTTGTATAATAAACTCTTACAGTAAAACTCAGTCCACAAAACATGTTTATTTATATGCTTAAGTGGTCCGTTGAAGTCTTTAAATCAATAGGCCCTCTCAGATTCTTCCTCGGATAAAATATCTCGAAGCACTCCACCCTCGGTCGCTTAGGCGTCGCACAACCAGTGCATTCTTGTCGTGATTCGGACTCAGAAGTGCTGTCGGAATCGCGCCCGTCGTCGACAGAAGGTTTCAAAAACTCACTATCCTGACCAGACGTCCCGTTATCATCGCTGTCGAAGAGGATATCTATGATTTCATCGTCAGAAAGGCCACACCACATACTGGACGCTGCCATCTTCTCCAAGCAGGCAGCGATCGAGCGGGAAAGACGACACACAAAAGTACAAGCTCAAACAAACACAGCGGACGGAACGACAATCGCCATCTGTTGGAAATGTATCTAACTGCACTACCCCAAGTCTACATAGCTCGCCATCGATGAATGGCTCTTTAAAACAAAAATTCATGCAGACCGGCAAATCGCCGGCTTTGGCAATGGGCCTCCTGCGCTGAAGCTTTGAAGAAACTTCGGCGCCCTCATTTTGGGTAGAGTACAAGCTCACCTGGTTGAAGCACCCACTATTTTGGCGCCTTCGCCGCGATTGTTTTCCTCCTGTGTAATGAAAAAAAAAAAAAAAAAACAACAGAAAAGCATTTGAACGTCGGAAATCGGCTACATTCAACGCCGCAAGACAATCGAAAGCCATCACCGCTATAGGGTACGCGTCTCGTACCTCTAACTGGTGACGTTAAAACATCTGGCGTCCCGACGATTTTTTTTTCTTCCCCTTTATGTTTCTTTGGGACGCGTGACATGGCGCTTCTTGGTTTACACTCTTATCGTCCTAGCTTTGGCCTGTGTTTCAACGGCGTTGGCATTTTTCGTTTTTTTTTTTTATATTTTCCTCGTTATCGTGTTCCGCGCCAGAGCAGGCACGCTTCTATATGTGTGGCAGTTTGAATCGCTGAAGTTTGTTCTACCCAAGACAAGTCCTAACAAGTCATTCTTCGCAGCGCCTCCTGGGCAACGCAAGATGCCCATATGGCCCCTGGCAGCACACCCGGCAATTCGCCGGCTTTGGTAGTGAATGGGTTAACATTCACTGTTTTCAGTTCCCTTGCGGAAGGCAATAATGTAGCAGCCAATTGATATTTTGCCTCGTTTCATGAAAGGCGCGAGTCGGGCCCCACTGCATCAAACGCCGAGGAGACGCCGACGAAAAGCGTCTTGAGTGGTTTGGCGCCATTCCCCTGTTTCCTTTTGTGAGAAAAGCGCCCGCCAAATACCGTGATTACGCCCGCTGAAACTCGCGTAAATTCGTCGCGAATACGCCCTATGTGGGTCGGCCTTTAGAGGCGCTTAGTTTTGCCCCGGTAAGCCACTGCCGGTCCGTGGAGCCCACGGCAGCTACGGGCCGGTCAAAAGACCTTCGCGGGCCGGATTTGACCCGTGGGCCAGGGTTTGGAGACTTCTGGCCGAAAAGTATTTTTAGCGTTGTCATACGCCCAACTTTGACTGCTTCTCGCAAGTGCTTTGGTGGAAAGTACACTCTTAGTTTTTGTTTAGATTGATATTCGGAAAGCAAGTCGTCTGCTTCTTGCGCAGGGGTTACGGTGACGTCAGAATGACGCCGAGTTCTGACTGGCTCTGATTGGAAGGATAGTGTGGAGACCTCAATGCTACATGCCTCGAGGTCTACCCACTATTTTTTTTTTCTCGCAGCCAATAAGAGCTCGGCGTATTGACCTTATCGCAGCCCCCGTGGGAGAGGCAGGCGAACTTGCGCTCCGTACAGGCTGAAAACACATAGTGTTCGAATAGTATCCGTAAACTAGACTGCGTGCGGGGGTTCGTAGGCCTTATTGTTATTCCCTTAAGAGTGACCATCACAAGGCAGTGTAACGGCAAAATGACGTGTCAAATATTTTTTTTTAATACTGTAGCACGGCCGTTTGGTAATGATGGCTGAAGGCATCGTGTTTCAGCGTAGCAACGTGTACAGAAAGAATTTAAATATAATGAACATAAACGTAAACATATCTAAAATAACTTTATTTAAATCGCATGAACCATTTAAAGACCGTCATATCAAACGTTCCACAAACTTCTAAAAACATATAGTTTACGTTTTAAATATTTTGCTTTAAATTACTTTTCTTGTTGATACGGATTGTGGGTCACTGGTCACTGAATTGTACACTAGTAATCCTTGTAAAGCTACTGTGGTCAGCGACTGCCCAGCTATAAAATTAACTTATTTTAAAAGAAAATATCACAATACGTCTGTAGATTGTCAAGCTATTAAACACTTGTTTCCTGCAATTATGAATAGGATGAATATAAATAGTTCACATTACTATCACTTGTACCTTAATAAAGGTGAATGACATATGTAAATTTCGTATTGGCTAGGCATTTTTTTAACGAAGCAAGTGCACCCCAGTTAACGAATCAATAGATTGTTTCGAAATTGAGAGAACTATATGATCAAGGGTTCGTACACACACTACGCAATACTGTCAAAATACTTTAAAATGAGTGCTTTAATATATATGACATCCCCTAAACTAACTGCAATTAGCGTTTTAAAAATATTTTATAATTAGAGCGGTTTACGTTTCCTCTCTCTCTCTCTCTTGAAAAGCACTTGACTGGTCTACAGCATTCTTTTGTTGCTTTTGCGCATTTCCTTAACGTAATATAATTTGCTCCTTGCATGACTGGCACTCCTGGCATGACTGGCACTCCGGTATACTCCCTCTCCCACCGTTTAATATACACGGATCACACTCTCAAAGGAGGCTCGATTTCAGTCAAGAAAGTTCGAAGAGCAATCTATTTGTTTTTCCTTCGTATCGCTTTCATATATCGATCCGCTGGGTCCCCGGTTCCAAGGGAACACTCCCAAGTTACAAAGAAAAAAAAAACAAGAAAAAAAAAAAACAACGGACCTTCCGAATGCATCTCATTGGTTGGACAGACGCGTGCGTCGTTGATTTGCTTGCCGCATATAGCAAACAACAGCGCTTCAAAGAGCCACTTGTATTAAAAGCCTGCCATTATTTTGACCTGATGTGCTTGTGATTGCAACGCTACGTTCAACTGCGGTGCCTGAAACGCGTTTCATCCTGGTGTGTTTAGCGTCCCATTCCGCCCGTGTTTCGAAACTGGTCCCGCGAAGTGGCAACAAATCACGACGCAAAAGACCGGCAGTCACGCTGTCGGATGTTGGGATACCGGTGTTTAACCGTAAAAATTTAGTTCCGGTAAAAAAGCACGAACAAACGCGAGTATCGCTGTCGTCGCGGCGTCCGAACTCTTGGGTGCCGAAACTTCCGCGGACAGTCGTGGTCGTTCAAGCTAAGGAGAGAGCTGCAGCGAAGAGGCGTCTGCAACGCCTGCCACCGGTATTGGGACATCACCAGGGTCGGGTTTGGCGACAGCACGACACTGGAATTGCGTCACCAGGCGAAACTCGAGGAACAACCATTTTCGACGCAGTAAACACACCAGTCGCAGACGCTTTTCAGGTACCATAGCTCGAGTGAAAAGATATCAGCCACTTGCATCGATTCGGTGTTGTTTTTTACCGTTGCGCTTCATTCGTACTTTAGTTACTCCGTGGGCTATCAGGCGTTCGTAAAAGACACAAGGTCCACCTATACAGTCACTGAGAAAATAAAAACACAAAATCATGAGCCATTCCACTTTGTGAAGCTGGATGACCAGCGAAGCTGTTTAGCACACGACAGAGACCCGCCCAGATTAGCCGGAGGGCACTAGACACGCGCGACGGGACCGCCACCCGGAGGAAAATAGACACGCGCAACTGGACCGCCACGCAGGGAGGGCGGAAGGAGAGGAAACTAGGCGCGCAAGCGCTTGGAACGACGACAAAGAGATGGCGGTGCGATCCTAGACATGGCCGACGCGGGTAGCACAGAGGCAATCTTCCAGAAACCTTTATTATCAACCCGAGAGCCTACTGATCTTGAAAATGGTGCCTTTTGATAACTAATCTACTCAATAGACCTATTGATAAACTACCCAATCATCCAGGGTAATGCAGGGAATGATGTTCCACGTGCTGCACGTGTCGGCGTCTGCAGCAGTAACTGTTCTAAAGTAAAATCCTAAAAGAAATGGTATCTTGCACGCGCGTTCGTCAACGCTTTATTTTGGGTATTTACTTCGAATCTTTTATACGGGAAAGGCGTGCGCGTACGGCGCGTGCGGCGGAACAAGCGTAAAGTGTTTGCTCAGGCACACGAAAAATCCACGAAACCCTAGCCATAAACATCTTCGCTGCATCGCTGTAAAAAAAAGCAGTTCGTCTCTTTGTGAACGCCCGTCCTTCAGCGTGCGCTCGCTGTCTTCCGCAGTGTTTAGGCTCCTCTTGAACGCTCTTGTCTCCCAAAGTGCCGAAGCGTTATTGAAGGCTGAAAGCTCACGCTGGAGGCCGAACACTCGAAGGACATCCCTGCCGTTTTCATTTTGTCAGTGACTACTGTCGTGCTACGGGTACGTTTGTTAGGGTGTTCAATTTGGTAGAATCGTTGCGTTGTCGTAAAATGGCCACGTGTGACGTGTTAACGTGCTGCCGCAACAAGTCCCAGCAGTAGAAACATCGCCAGAAGAAGCTGCGCCGGCGGCAGAAGTGTTCCAGCTCCGTTGCAATAGTCCTGGTCCTTGCACAGACAGACTTCTTTCCTGAGTTGGTTGGGAAGCTTCTCCACAAAGCAGCCCACTTCCACGGAGTTCACGCACAGCCACGTCACGTTTCGGGGTTGCTCTGCAAGACAGACGACGTAACAACGATTCAACATCGTAGAATATACCTGCTGGGCGAGGCTATGGTTATTGACACCTTTAAAAACGCAGGACGTGGAATATATAGTACACGGATTTTGCTGCCGCAGTTGCTCTTGAGCGTTCTTATGAAATAATGACGCAGTCTTATTTGCTACGGAGCGTTAATAAGATGCTCCCGACTTGCCACGTCCTTCGTTCTTTAAGCTCTCAGTGGGCATAGAGGACATTAAGGACAGTTAGGTTAAAACTTTAAAATGATGGACTTTTCTGCTACAGGTCAGAAAACAACAACAACACAATGTTGGGGTCAGAAAATATGAAGCCCAGAATAAAAAAACAACAACAACAACATGTATTTTACATTAACATTTTTGTCACTGGCAAGGTCAGCGTAGGTCAAGCAGTGCTGTCCAATTAACTTATGAGAGCGCGTAGCTTCGTTTGATGTATACGCTCTGTTGCAGAGCGCCCGCGATTGAGATGCGATGTAACGCCTCGTAATGGCGCAGCCGTGCGACGCTGAACATTCTGTAAACTACGCTACCCTTCACGAAGTCGCGCATAAGTGTGGACGCCGAGTATTCGCGACTTTAGCAAAACAGACGGCATTTAACGGGAAAACCCTGAACTGGCCGAAGCAGGACTTTCGCGATATCTGCTCGTATCTTGTGGCTTCCTTGATTTCATGTTGGCCGCTGTTACTCTGGCCACCGAAGTAAAGCGAGGAATATTCCTTTGCTTGTGTCCTTGTGTCTAAAGCCACTAAATGAGCTACGCTTAAAGTAGAGGGCACTTTGTTCCCCGATATTATTGTGGGAGCCGGCATCTTTGTGCTTGCGTAGAGCAGACGCATCTGCCGATCGTAATGATTCAAAAGTGCGACATTCTCAGCATTAGATTCGGTGTTAGAAATATTATGTGAAAATGCTTTGCTCTGTCTTGAACTCTTTACACACTTGTGGAGGACGGAAAAACGTTTCCTGTGATTTCAGGTGAAGTTTCAGATAACTGGCGACCATAATTTTAAGCCCCAAGATGATTAAGTGTCGTTACTCTTATGCGTAGCTTATTTAATTTCTCTACTTGTGTCCATAGCGACAAAAGCGACTGCAACGAAAGGGCCGGAGGAGAAACAGTGACTTATTGCTTGTATTGCTTCTTATGTTACCTGGCACCAGTGACTCTGTCATTAAGGCCCGTTCTTGCGACCGAGTAGGACCGAGAGAGACCAGACCAGTTTTTAAGCCTCTTGTGGCGACTTAGGACCGGATGCGCTACAGCGGAGCTGGTTCTAACACACCGCAAAAGCCTTAAAAACCGGTCTGGTCTCTCTCGGTCTTACTTGGTCGCAAGAGTGTGAACGGGCCATTACTGTTCTATAAGTGACCAAGGTCGGCTCTGAAAGCAATGTACGCAAAAGGGTGAGCCAGACATTCTGCATTTATCAATTTTCATGAACTCAGGAGAAGGATACCCCCCCCCCCCCCCCCCCGGAAAGACGGTAAGCCTAGACACTCACTCACACTAACGCACCACCAAAAATGTTTTTACAGGTGCGGACAAATATTGGGGCAAAATAATTTGGATCTAATGCTTGCCCGCTTAGACCCGGACTAGAGTGGCTAAAGGGAGAGGTGTGCTCATCACTTGCAACGATTCAATCCAGAGATTCAGGGCGAAAATAGATGGCGAAATCATTGAATTTGTTCAATATTTCTGCCAAGAACTGCGCGCTTCATTTCGCGTCATTTCACGTGCTGGAACCACCTGATAATATTAACAGTAAGCAGTACTCAGTTGCACGCTGTTGCTGATCGATTGTCTAAACATTGCGCTTTATTTTATTTACTGTGACGACCTAAAGCTACGAGAATGGGCTCAGTGTTTTATGATAACCGTAGGACGAGAAATTTAAATACCATATTTGAGCCGTTGGACTGAGTGATGGCCTATATCACAACATTCTGTCCTAAATAAGTATGACGCCTTCGTAGAACCTTCCCGTGTCTTGACAGATGACATGAATGTACCAACATCCCCTGACTAATACGGCGTTCAGAATAAATCTTGCACAATACTGACCTGCTTTTCAAGTAACTATTGAAGATATTTGTTTTCCAGATTTAGAGACGGACTTAGTCTTTTGGTAAAGAGAAGAGAAACATTTACCACTAAGTTTATGTGGCGGGGATCTCACCCTAGCGCAAAGCGGTGGCGTTGAACTTTCTTTTGACGTAGTTCATCAGGGAAGTACGTTGTAATTCTTATAAACAATTGCACTCGTACAGAGCTCTCTGTATTTTTCCTCTTCTTTCACTGTCTCTTTGAGTGAGGGAAAACAAATCGGTCTTCGTGAACGTCTAAAAAGGGAGAGGGCAATCTTCCTCTGTGATTTGGTTGCGTGGTTCAAGGTTATGTAGCGATAACTTATCTAGTGCGTCTTGAGAGTTAACCTGAAATCTGTAACGTGCTCCACGCTGCTGTGACTACTCAACCGCACACCTGTACGATGGCTGTCCATTTCAGAAAAAGCAGGGGCGCGGCTCAGGTAGATGATTGGCTGAGCAGATTTATGATGGTTGCATGATATTCGATCCCAGTGCCCCCACACTTCTCCTGAAACCGTTGATTATTTGTCTCGGCGTGCTTAAATTAAAGTGGGCTTGGCGGAAGTGTGCGGTCATGGAAAGGCGAGGGTTCATCAGTCCATTCATGACGGGCCGTAGCCTGCTTCAATGCGATGAGCCTAACGCAACAATATTGATTTCTCCTTATGTATATGCGAAAAAGACTACGTCTCTACGAAAACTTGGACAGAACATAGGGGTGCCAAAAACTAAACAGGTCTGGAGTTCACACGATATTCAAACTACTTCAATCTCTTTTTTTCCCGATCCTAGATTACAAACACCCTAATTGGCTAGAACAATGTGCCGTGTATCATGTGTGACTTGAGTCGTAGCATCAGTACCACCCTGCGGTTCACGCACAAGTGACATTTCTGCCACAATGCGGAGAAGCAAAAAAACACCCACGCCATCACCTCAAGGTTGCTATGTCGGTCCTGAAAAAAATATCGTTGGGTGTTTCACTAAAAAGCTAATTTTTCATAAATTATCGAGTGATGCCTAGTTTCACGCTGTTTTTAAAAGTTAAAGCCGCGCTCACGTCATCAAATTTTTTTTTTCGGCAAAAATATTTCAGGGTATGGCTACGGACATTGCGGCAAAAGGCCATGAATTTTTTTTTCAGAAATCGGAAGAGGTCGAGCGCAACGTCTGGGACGTTTGACATGAAATGACCCTACTCCGATATTCCGGTGTGTGAATCATATCATCATCATCATTTATTTTCCTTGAGGGCCCGTGGGGCATTATACAAGCGGGTGACGACAACGACGACCTTGCGTGCTTCTTTTGTCGTGTGATCGTTTCGCTGGTCTGTCCTTGAAGATCGATTGGGCGGTACTGCGAAAGACAGTTCCGAAGTAGCGGTCCCACGTTCGTCGCAACGTTCTTCTGCCATCCGCGCCCATAGCTTCACCCAGCCCGCAGTACGTCGCCATGTTGAGAATGATGTAGTACTTGTGCTTTCGGTGATTTGTGCAACATTTTTGTTTTCAATCAACATACTTGCAGTTTGTTGGAAGTCACAAAATTTAGGTTCATACACATTTTTGTTTTAATATAAAACGCGTGTCTTAGATAACCCACTACTTTGAATATATTTGGTGCGCTAGTTTGAACGGCACGTGACCAAGAAAAAGAAAGCGAGGGCGCATCAAACCAGCCAATTTTCTATAGGCGGTGTTCCGGCGGAAAGAAAACAAACTTCGATCTAAAAATTGCTATAATTATACTAGCTGTGTTTGGAGATATATGTTTGTCCTTTGTCCCTCTTGTTCCCCTTCTCCAGGGATTATTTTCGTTATTCGTCGTTCGCTCTAAATTGCGTTCAGGGTAGTTGGGCTCTCAAAGGTCATGTTCAAATAAAGATTTCGGCGCGCATAAATACCGCGCCAGTGTCATTTTAAAGATCCACCGCCACGACATTCCCAGAAGATGACCCTTCAGCCCTCACCGTTGGTGTAGTAGGTCCATCGCGCGCAGGTGCCGTCCACCTTGGTGCAGTTTTTACACTGCAGCGCCAGCTGGTCCCTTGATGGCATTTCCGCGAAGTTGTTGATGCCCAAGAAGGGAGGCTTCAGAGGTCCCTGCAGGCCTTCGGGGTCCTCGATCTTCTTCATCTGCGTTTCGAGATGTTCGCGTCGCTCCTCGTCCATCTCCACCTCTGCGTCCCAGCTGCACTGGAAGCACTGGACGGGGAACTTCTGCCGGACGGCCTGAGCTGCAACAAGACCAACGTGGACAAAGAACCGTCTATAGACCATTCCATTTAGCGCTCTCTGGGCGGAACCATTTTGTTCGGCGGGGTAAAACGAGAGAGGGGGCACGCGCCCGACTCCGCTAGCAGACAACAATTCGGGAAGTTGCCATCCTCCATCGAAGCACAGCGACCACGTTCTTACGTGGTGGGGACACCCCGAGGGGTTCTGCAGCGGAACCGGAAGCATCTGGTGCTTCCGGTTCCGCTGTAGCAGCGGAACCGGCTGTAGCGGCGGGCTGTACGGATCATCGAACTCTCGCTCGTGGCTGCCGTTGTGAGGTGGTTCGCGTTCTTAGAATAGTTATGGCTGCTCTGAAATCAGCCTAGAGCTCTCTGTCGTTCTATTTCGGTAAATGATCAACTAGCATATCTTTTTTCCGTTACTTAAATAGCAGTTGAGTCAGCCGGTAGTACTACCCTCAACTACTGTGTGTAGGAAAATAAGCGCCAAAAAAACACGGACAAAGAGTAGATTGACAACGACACAAGGCGCCCTGTGTCGTTGTCAATCTACTCTTTGTCCGTGTTTTTTTGGCGCTTATTTTCCCACGATGTACCAACTGGCCCATCTAAGCATTTTATTACTGTGTGTATTGCGGCAGGAGAGCACGTTTTTATTTATTATTTCAGACTTCCACTCATGGTCGCTAAAGGCCTACACGAGTACAAACTTTGTATAGTAAACAAGGTACAGCAGCCGGACTTACTTTTCGCCGGAGAGACCGACCAATCTGACACAGTTTTCCCCCTTTTTTTTTTTTATTTGCACGCAGGTAACAGCGCAATTGGGTCCTGTTTGTCTTTTTATCTAGCATAGTATTACACGATAACTGGCATACCAAAATCTGCGCATCTGCGCTTGAAAGTTCCAAAATGACGCGATTTTAAACAGAGTTTGTACGCCAGCCGGACGCTAGATACAGATCACTCAGCGGAGCAGACGACATGCGGGTGAGAGGGGGAGGGCAATTTTTCTCGTTTTACCCTCTCTGCTATGACCCTAATGGAACGGTCTATACACTGCACTTTGCGTGGTTTTACAGTAGCTGGAAGAGTGTCAACGCTACAGCTTCCCCGAGCCAATCAAAGCGGTGGAGGCGAAGCACGTGACAGCCCATACCATAGGTACAGGGGCGAGTGTGTAACCCAAGCACCTGGAGGAGAAGGGAAGTAGGAACTGCCCTCTCACACAAGCCCTAGTCTGTGTGTTCCAGACGTCGCCTTTTCTGGGATACGGTCCATTAGTCAGATGCGCACTCGTCACAGGACGATTGGTCAGGACGATTCGTCACACAGGAACGGTCGTCATAGGACGACTCGTCAAGCGGCCAACCGGTCCTACGATAGTTCGTCCTCCGAAAAATGTATTGTTCAATTTCGTTCGAGCGGACAAAGTGGCTCACCTCATATCTTAGTGTCTTTGGCTTCCGAAAGGCGAAGAATTTGTAACAAACGTTTTAGCTTCTGGTTCGGTCCCGAACATTGGCCTGACAAAGTGGGTCACCTCTTATCATAGCATGTCTTTCGCTTCTCAAGGTCGAAGAATTTGGTAACCGGACAAAAGCTCACCGGACAAAGCTCACCGGACAAAAGCTCACCCGTGTTTTGACAGACCCGGGCAAAAGCTCACCTCGATTTTTTTTTGCTACCCGGGCGAAACACAGGCTGGAATAAAGTGCGGACGCGATGAACAGTAAACCATCTTTAGGCGAACTTGTTCGCCATACCATGCAAAGGTGCCAACAGGTAAGCCATCACAGGCAGAGAAGCAACGATTTGGGACAAAAATTTAGGTCACTGAAACTGAGTTGAGCTAATAAGATCAAGCTTGCTTGACTTAAGGCATGCCAAAGCACCTTTGTGCCACGCCCAAAAAACTTCGTGAAGAGAATTTTCTGAACCCGAAGAGTGACCGAAAAAGCCAAGTTATCCATCGGGGACCTCGATTTTTCATTGAGCTATGTCACGCTAAACGCGTCATGAAGGTTAGGCTTAATGTCTCTTTATTACAAATGGATGGGTTTTCTTGGGGTTCAGGGTAATATTTAAAGTGAATTGCTAATGAACTTAAATTGTTTCCGTCATTGTTCGTAGTAATTGTATCTGAAATGAAGGATTATCTCAAATTGATTTGAAAGGGAAACTGAAGCAAAACTGTAATATAAAAAGCATTGACTTGCGAATTTTGAAAAATATTTTGAAAGAACGGGAGTTGAGCCTTTTGAAAAAGTACAAGACAGATGACCAATTTAGAAAACTGTACGGGATTTGAGATAGGCTCGCGTTCCTTCCACCACTGCTTGTTCCACAGTGACTAACTATCAGGGAAAAGTCTACCGGTGACATCGGCTACCTGCTGGTCTATTTTGATTGCACGTATGTCAACGGCCACTCCCGTTATGATTCTGTTCCTTCTGCGGGGGCACCCAGAGCGAATTCTTCTCTTCGCCTGACTCTACGCCGATGACGACCGGAGTTTCTCCCGTAACGGTGGAATATGTACGACGCCACTCTTCAAGATCAAGATCGGATGAACAACACCTGCGAAGGAGGGAGTACCGGGTTCCAGAAGCTCGTCGGCCATTCCCATCCAAGCGTCTTGAGGCTGATTGACACAAGCCCGGAGAGGTGGGCCCACAGTGTCTGTGGGCCCACCTCTCCGGGTGGGCCGACAGACACTGTGGGCCCACCCCGAGTATCCCCAGAATCGTCTTAGAAATATTTGCGAGGGCTTCCATGTACATCGATATCTACCAAGACTGCTGGAGCTAGTAGGGGACTGCGTTAGCTTCTAGCCTATCGATAAATAAACTCGTTTCTATTAAAGGGGCACTGACACATCAAAATCATATTTTTTTTTATTATCCGAAACGGTTGAAAACGATGCCGGGACATTAACCTCAAAATTTGAAATTTGGGAATTCAGTATTTGTGAAGTAAAAAAACAATTTCCAAATGCCGAATTCGAAGTTCCCGCGCGATCGGCGCCGGTGCCTTGACGTCAAAAATTGCGGAGACCTGAGAGTCCCCTTTCCTGTCACCACTCCCTGCTGTTGCCATAGCGACCCAAAGCGAGGAGGATAGGAGCGAGCGCCGGCTAGCGCCGGCGTTGCGGCGGACCGGTTTTGAGCGGTGTCGCCTGTTTTCCGTTGGAGGATACAAATCCAGGAGACGGCACCACAACGAACTCCCGATTTTTGGTATTTCAAAAAGAAGGGCCGTAGTGCGTTCGGAATTGCGTTAAAAAACATGTTTTAGGATTGCCGTCATTAAATGTTATAAAGATGTCGCCTACAAAGCTTCTAAATTTCCTGATTTTTGACGTCACCGATCAAAAGAAGCGAGGAGGCGAGAGGCGGGAAAATCAAACGCCAAAAATAAAAAGGCGCGCGTGCGCGCGAGAAAATTTTTTTTCGCGATGCGGTTTTTTTTGCGTGTCTATGACTGCAACTTGCATCGTTTTAGACAATAAAAATAAATACGACCTTTGGGGTGTCAGTGCCCCTTTAAGATCAGCAAACCATGCGCCTGTCAGATTTAATTTATCGTTGCGTTTTTTGTCGCGCACATGCACCTAAATTGTCCGCACTCGTATTAAGACCAACATTAAATTTTCTCGTGGTGAGATTTTGTCCGGGTCTGCGAAGAAATGGCTGAGCTTTTGTCCGGTGAGCTTCTGTCCGGTGAGCTTTTGTCCGGGATTCGAAGAATTTGTGACAGGCGTTTTAGCTTCTGGGTCCATCCGGAACGGTTAATGGGGGGCCATACAAAAGCGACTATTTTTGAACTCAGACTACATTTATAAGGATGGAGGTGTTCGCAACAGAGAGAGGTGGAGCCATACTCGTAAACATGCAGCAAAAAGAATTCCGAAACTTATTGTTTTTCTCGAAGAGGTGTATGCAAGACAAAGTAAAAACTGTATTGGCTGCCAGTCGGATCATTGCTCGTTGAAGCCAGCAACTTAGATCAACCTGCTGAAGAGTGGTAATATGATGAAAGGAAAAGCGGACAAGTATTGTAAGATTCGTTTTTCTAACCATTGGTTTATGTCACAGTAGGAAGTCGTGAAACTCCTCATCAGGAAAAGTGGGCAGTTGTTGAAATTTACAATTTACTATCGTCCCCTGCCCGATCAAAGCGATCAGTTGCCCGCATGACGAGTCATCCTGTGACGAATTCTCGTATGTGACGAATCGTCCTGTGACAAATCGTCCTGTGACGAGTGCGCATGTGACGAATCGTCCTCATCCCGCTTTTTCTCCTTCGGAGATAAGCTTGTCACCCGAAATTCGTACAAAAGCGGCTTTTCTCTCGCTTCCGGAATATGGCCCATTCGTCACATGTCGATCCGTCATGGGGCAACTGGTAACAGCACTGATCTCTATTGTATTAGGCTGGATCGCGGATCGCGGCCTCGGCAGCTGGGGCCCAGTGTCGCCACCGACGGCCATTGATTGACCCCAGCCAATGCATGGGGCTCTATGGGAAGAACGAGAAAAAGGGCCGTTTTCCCCTGCTCCTAAGCTGTTCTCGGCACTGAAACTTTTCGGATGCTTTTCGATAAGCCCGTCAAATAGCTTACGTACAAACATTAAAACTGACAGCCCTCGCAATTCTTATAAATAAATATTTTGTAATCGAGAGTGACTCCGCAGTAGTGCAGCTCAATGATGCGAGTTACCTAGAGTTAGCGCGGAGTCGGTGGCGGTTTCGTTGAGTTGGGTTAGCTGACGACAACGTCAACTTTGCAACAACTTTGCAACGTGGAATTCGCTCACTCTCGGAAAGCCGTTGTCGAGATGGAACTTCTTTGTCATTCATCAACGTCCGGGCTTCCCCGAAGACGGTCTCATTGACGGCAAGTTGCCTTGTTTACCCCACCACGAGAGCAAGCTTGCCAGCTCAGCCGTAGGTACTCAGGTACGTTTGATTTTTTTATTCGGCGACCGAATGTTTGA